CCTCTACACCAGCTTATTGTTACGCGACCATTGTTTTAATTGTTTGTTGTAATTACTACATGCTGTTCGTTAGGCTGTGTTGCTAAGAGGTACTCCACGAAGTAATATAGTCCTGCGTAGGGACACGAATTTCGATACGATACTATACCATATCGATACTTTTGCCATTCGATACCGATACTTTTTACTCGATATTTTTAAGACGATACTTTTTAGAATCGAGTACCAGAACCCTTGTAGTAATAATATATTGTACATTATATGTACTCAAAATAATTGTCTTTTATTAATTTTGTTGTGATGTGGCATTTTTATGTCAAAATGTTAAAAACTAAAATGAAAAGTGTAATAAAATAAATAAATAAGTTAGATACATACATATATGATTTTTATTATATTTTCTCGGTAGACCTTCTGCTAAAATCGCCTATATGTCTACACTTTATTAGATAGCAAGCTTAATTTCAGATTTACTTTTTGAAAAAACGTAGATAATAAGAATAGGGACAACACGTTATAATAGTAGCGAGTGTGAGTTACAGGGGCATGCCTTCTCTGTTAATCCAATCAAAAAACCGATTTGGGTAAAAGAGAAGGCACGCTCTTGTTACTCACACTCGCTACAATTATAACGTTCTTTGAAGGTACTAATGTGTACCCGATATATTTACATCGATACTTTAAATGAGTACCATATCGATACATTCGGTTCGATATCGTACCCCTAGTCCTGCCCTAGGATATCGCAATGTTAATTGGACCGCATTATTATATGCATTCGGTTAAGTTTAGAGTACTCCTTGGATCTTAAGGAATACTCTAACATGCGAGCACTGAGTAGTCGCGATTTTTGCAGAGTATATTTTAAATTTGCGTAATATTCTGTTTGTTGTACCGGTATTCGTAGCTTTACCATCTCATCAAATACTAAAAAAACTAGTAAGAGATTAATTCTCCCCCACAAAAAACTCGCATATTGGTTTATTTTTAGTTTTACCGCCTTCTTTGTAAATTTGTAGGTAAAGTTCTTGAGTGATTCCTATGTCAGGTTCCTTAACCATTTTATCATGATGTTTTCCACTAAAGTTTTGCCATGTTATTAATGAGTCATATTTTCTGCCATCAATGCCAAATATTTGAGCCCATGCACTGTTTTTGTCGAACATAATGTCCACACTTCTTTTTTTTTATTTTTAAAGCATCGTATTTTTTCGAATAAGGACCTTGCTTCAAAGGTGTATTTGGCATGGAAATTACATCAACATTCATAATCAATGAATCCCGATAGAATGTCGAAACTGGGCTGAAAGGTGGCAGTGTTGATTTCGCAATTTCCTTATCCACTATACATTCAGGAGTTGTGTGCTTTCTTTAAATGTATCAGGATTCAAAGCAGGAATAAAATAAGATTTTCCTGGAATTTATGCCATGAATTAACTCTATAGACGTCATGCCTAATCTGCGTCTGAAATAACTTTAACGGGCCCATTGAAGTTATGTCGGTTACCTTCCTTATCATGAAGTTTACAGAAAGGTGAAACGATATTTAATAGGTGCGCCGGGTATATAAAGTTCGGTTTCGTCCGAACCTATACTTCTTTTCTTGTTTTTAGCAAAATTGTATCCGTATCATTTTGTTTCAATACTCTTCACACATCCAACTGTATGTAAAATAATACCAATTTAAGTAATAAGAAGTGTAACAAAAGATTTGTTCAATGTTCAAAAACCTTCACTTCAACATGCCTACGCTTCTGGTATGGCTATAGAAAAATTAAAGAAGTAATATAGAGGTAAATGTATCAACAAGCTGAGAAGAGGAAGAAGTAGCCAAAGCTGACTACTACTTCTGGCAACACCACCAAAAGCTTGCCATCGGTGATGTGGACGAAACACTGTGACAGTATCATTTAAATGGAGGACTCAATGTTTTTAATGTGAAACATTTTCATAAAATTTCTTTTTTGTTTTCCTAACCACTTTGCTTTTTATGTTTGCCACAGCAGTCTGTCAGCTGATAGTTGCACTGCTGTTACTAACTGATTAGAATCTTTGATGAATTTATTACTATATATAAAAAAGCGCATGCGCAGGAAATAATTTGTTATTTGCAATTTTTTTTTTTTAAATAAATATATTTTGTTTGCTTTCGATGCTATAAAATGTATTTATTCAATTTTCAATTCGATGCTTACCTTCTCTGTCCCCTACTCTTTTCTTATGTTTGTATGTATTTTATTTTATTATTATCAACTTTTGGTGTTTGTGAAATTAACTGTTTGTGTGTTTCCTTTTGTATCAAAGCACATCATCTCTATCTAATTACAAAATACACAATATAATAGTTTAGAAATATTTGCCCACAAATTTTTTACTATATTTGACGCACGAAAACCTGAACCAAATATTGATGTAAACAGAAAAAATTGTTGCACGAAAAAAGTGCTTTATTTTATTTATAACCTATAGCACACACGCAAGACTTAACGAAAAAACCTACAATTAACAGATATTGCAAACCACTTTTACATTGCGCCGAAGCGAACCCAGAGCTGCCATCTGTACAAAGTTGAATTGCATACATTTGGGTCGTTCACATATAAAATTACATTTTTCGCCGCATGACCATACTACATACATTTCTGGTAGTTCCACCACTTTTTGTGCTAAATTTCATTTCTACCACATTTTACAATTGTTGCTTTTTCGGAATTTGGTTCATCCTCCTATCCTCAATTTTCGGTTTATTTTATTTTAATTGCACAATTTTTAATTCTCCTTAATTCGTGTTAGTACATACATATGTACTTATTGCACACCGTCTTCAAAAGAGTCACAACTAAAAATTTGGCATTTTTGAAACTATGCGCTAAAAATTTACACAGAGCTTTTATTTACCTTTCAGCAAAAGCTGGAGCAAATTTTGGTATAATTTGTTTAAAAACCCAAAGGTAAAGTCGCACCTACCCATATGATTAGCATGTGCTACGAAATAGTTTTTCGCATTTTCTGACGAACGTATTATTTTGAGTTGTGACTCTTTTGAAGACGGTGTGCGATATGTATGTATATTCGTTTCAAAACATTGCTATGCGTTAGAGTGGGTGTAAACTGTATACCTATGCTTTGGCTACAAAATCACAATCTCTAGCTGGGAAATGGAAATGCTCTGTGTAAATCCTTTTTCATATGGAAATTTTTACAAGTACACGTTAGCGTTTCCTGAGAAGTGTCAACCAAGAACGAAAAATGTAACTAAAAATTTCGGTTGGTAATCGTTTCATGGACGGTGTTGCTCAGTTTCTTCCATATAAAAACGAATTCGAGCATAATACATACATAGATAATTTTATGGGCAATTCTCAATTAGTTCGAACTTTCGCATGACTCGCTAGTTTTTATTCGGACACATAATTTTCGCTGGTTTACTAACAAAAATCAGGCTATGTAAATGCAAAAAAATGATCACCGTACATAAAATTGGGACATTTTCCTAAATAAAAGTGTGACGATCGTATTATTTTTTATTATTACGTTGCAAAAATTGATGCGTTGCTTGCTTATGTTTGAGTTCATAATTAACTGGTAGTATTTGGAGAAGACAATAGTTAGAAGTATGTGCTTGCAATAGAAAAGAAGTTATGAATAGTCAAAGTGGCGTGACTCCATTTTTTAAATTCTGACACTCGCGGTTTTTATGATATCCTGTAGTTGGTAAGCCTCAAGCTTACGCCGATAGATATTGCGGCGGCGGCGTCGTCAATCTTAGAAATAATCGGCGTCTCAAATAGCGCCGGCGCATCTGACCATTAGCCACATACCAAAGAACATAGGAAACCAATTCTTGTTTTCAATTTCGCAAAATACTGCTAAAAAGGTCGCCTAATAAATATTTGGAATCGGTGCATGTGCATGTTTATTAAACCATACACCATTTTCAATATTCTCGTTTCAGTTCGCAAATATTGTTTACTTTTTTAATAACAAAATAAACAACTTATCGTTGTGAAAGGTTAGTGAATTTGGAATAATTTAGTTATATATTTTACTAGACTCAGAAAAAGGTTTAGTTATAATTACCAAGATTTGGTTATAGTGACCAAGTGGCATAGTTGGATATGGCGAAATAAATATCTAGTTCACGAAAGTCTGCAATTTACTTGAGACTTCTAGTTGGGACAAATGTATTTTTGTTAATAATTACGAAACGACTACCTTGAGTGGACAATATTGTTAGTTGAATAAAATCATTGTTGAGCAAATATAAACAATGCTTTGGTTGATACAAGTTTTCAATTAATTTTGTGAACTTGCTGTAGACTTGAATCAGCTAATAGTTTATTATTGGAAAAAAAAGTTTCAGTTTGACACAAATAAAAATTTACTCGAAGGTTGTTGTGTTTACTTTCTTCTTTTATGATGTATTGTGGAACGATTTTCCGTCATCCCTTGTCAAATTTGGTTTGGAGACAAACCGGTTTCGGCGTTGTGCCATCTTCAGTGTCATTTTTCGTTCGTTCGTTTAAGTAGACCGATTTGCTTTTTCCTTGGCTAAATAGATACTTTCAAATAATAATTCACATGACTTATATATATACAGTGAGAAACCCCGGTTGGCATCAAACTTTATATTTCTAAATAACTATGCATTGTGTACAAATACAAGTGAGATATCTTAGCAACAGACGTCATCCTGGGCCACAGCTGCGATCATCTGTTTTTTAGAGTTGCTTATTTTGGTCTAAACTGCTCTTTTTTGACCTGAGTTGCATTAAATAGTCTCTTAAAACATGGTAGTATTTGTTGTTCAAATGGTAACATATATGCCCAAAAACTTGAAAAATATTAATGATTGCTTTTTAAAAATGCTATTTACAAAATTTCGTTTTGATTGCGACATTCGAAATATTCAGATTATCAAAGTTTTTCACATATGTTTTAAGATTTTAAAGCTTTTTAAAAGTACGGTAGAATGCAACAATGTGCTTGAATTTGTTTGCATCTTCGTCAGCTTATTCGTTTGCAGACTAGAAAAATGGCGAACAGCCATCAAAATACTGATTCAAAATACACATCTTTCACTGGACACCGCAAATGGGTGCGCGCAGCAAAATTCAGCCCTAATGGTAAGTTAATTTCAGCGTGCGGCGATGACAAGTTAAGAATTTGCGATACATTTTCGGGCGAATGTGTGCGAACGTTCACCGTGGGAAGAGGTATGGGACGACAGCTGGCATGGCATCCAGACGGTAATCTGGTGGCTTTAGCATTAGCATTAAGTTGTAACCGCTTTAAGATATTTGACATTGCTGCAGGCGAGCTAATACAGTGCATTCGTCGCCGGAGAATGATGTTGCATTTCACTCAAGTGGAAATTTCTTGGTGACTGGCGGCGATGACGATACAATAAGATTGCTTGATTTATTCGAAGGTCGACCAATTTATACACGGTAGTAGTGCACTTTAGCGGAACCATATAATATAAATTTTTTCCTGTATTGAACAGTTGCTCGTTTGGAAATCTAATTTGCATACATTTGATGCCAATAGCTCTCGCAACAAACAAGCCAGTTCTCAAAGAGTCCAAATTGATTTTAGTCATGCAACAGCTCCACATAACTCCGCCATAGACACACCAGTTGCTGCAGTACCAAAAAGCTGTGATGACAGTATTTTAATTGATCCACGACAATCGGTGGCATATGAAATGCGTGATAGAAATTTTCTGGTGCTTGATAGCCAATTTACTACAAGAGTGCAACACTACAAGTGAAATGCTGTGATAGTAATTTTTCTTAAATTTCCATCTTTTATTTGCATTTACATTAAGAAGCTCATAGAGGACAGAGCTGTTGGAGAGGAAGGTGTCGAGTTACTGCAGTACAGCAACTGGGAAAATCCGCATATCGCACGTGCCCCACTCGTATGGAATAGTAGCTTATGTCAAAAGGCTGGTTTTAGTATAATGCGGCATTCGCAGCATACCCTCACTGGCGCCGAGCCGTTGAAGAAATTTTGGCAAATAAACGTGCAAGAAATAGTTCCGATACTAGCACGTCCATATTCTTGTTAAGGGTCATCAAAAAATTCCTTGTGTTGTAAATAATAAAGGGAATGCCGGATTATACTAAAGCCAGCTTCCCGACATAATTCCATATTCCATACGAACACAGAAATTTAAATGTATCTAAAACTGAATAACTCAAATCAAATTGGATTGCATTTCCATAATATACCTAATATTTGAATCTGTTTTGATCGTAAAAAATACAACTTGCAATCATTTAGATTATAGTTTTGAAAGAAGTTGATTGCAATCGTAAATTGTGTAAAAATTGTTAATAGCAATCTGCCTTAAATTTATGTTCCCCATGTAACGGGTATAAAATACGTTAAATCCGCACTATCTGCATTAACAAAAAATATACATTGGAATATTTAAAATAAAACGATTCATATTTATTTTCTAATAAGAATTGTTTCTGAATTGAAAGTATTTAATACTAACATAATGTAGTGGTTAATGTTTAAAAATGAATTCGCAATATGTCCACAGCTCAGGCTGATTTGAAAAAATCCGTTTAAATTTTTCGAATTACATCTACTTGAATATAGGATAGGCAGGGTTGCATACAAATGGTAGTTCCGTAAATATTTAAAATATGTTAGTTCATTCAATATTTACATCTGGGCCAATAAATAATAACAAATATAGCCGAAAAACAAAGTTTCGATTAAAACAAGTTTTTATAACCCCCAATAAAATTTCGATTAATTTTAAATACGAAAATAACGATATTTTTTCATGGAGAGGTATTTTTTTTTAATATACCTTGTTTATACCTACACAAGAACCGTATTAGCAAAAAACCGATTGGACTCAACATATATTTCTTTACAGCATTTATACCCCTGTCTTTATAGCGCACTCGATAAAGTCTTATTCAAAAGTAAACAAAATCTGCTATTTTTAAGCATTTTTTTAATAAATAATTTGCGCGGTTGACCGAAATGGAAACAAACAATAACTGTAATTTATTATAACAATAATTCGAATTTAAAACGGGCTGTATAAAGAAAACTGCCTATTGTCACTTCACTTTCCAATGGTGCTGATTGCTGCAAGAATGATTTAGCGATTTAGAGCATAATCAACACAATATATGCACATAAATATGTATTATTTCACAGATCTCAGCTTAGAAATACGTCACCAAAATTATATAAAATTTAAGTAGGAATTATTTTCATTTATAACGTAAAAGCGCTATCTGACCCAATCTGATAAGTATATTTCCCCTAAAGTTAACCCATTTTATTTAATTTGTCTCTCGTGAAAATATATATTTTATTTGAAATTTTCAGATATGTACATATATTTTAAATTTTAGCTTTAATTTTTGTATCCTTTTAATATTTAATTAGATACCTCAAGATTAAAATAAGCTTAAAACGAAACAGCACAGCAACCCTTTTCTGTTCGTCTTGAGAACACAAAACCCTCTTTTGTTAAAATTCGGAGCTGCACAAAATCCTGGCTTTTATATTTTCCAACAAAATACCACTTCGCAACCCTGGATTTTCACGAAGCGTTTCATTCGGATCGTAGTTTTGCAACTTCGGGCCATTCGGTGTTGTATGCCATATTGTTCACTCTGTCATCACCATATTGAACACCCTGTCAACCCTAAGATATCTCACTTGTATTCTTCCACAATGTAACTATGCGCACACCGAAACAACTCGCTTCAAAACTGAAACAAGGAAATCTGGGCATGTCATAGCAGCACACGCTTTTCTTTCTCTACCTAGCGCAATGATCGACATACCACAGCTTACTGAGAGTTCTGTGACCACACGCGTGTTTCACCCATATACGAACAGCGGTAGCGGAGCAATGATTTCCACGCACACAGTCTCATTCATTGAATCGTTTTTATGCAATGGTCGGCATACTACCGCATTCAAACGATTCAATAAGTGGGACTGTGTGCATTGCTCAGCTGGTGCTCTTCGTATGCAGTGATGCCAGACATTCTCTGTTAAAAATCCCACGAAAATGGGGAAAAAATCCCTCAATTACCCACATCTTGAAAATTTATCCCACAAAATTCCCAACGAATTTAAACATATACATGTTTCAGTAGTAAATAAGTAAAATTCATATAAAATAATAATAATAGTTTGGCGCTTACACATATGTGCTTTTCCTCCAATTTGTGGCGGTCCCCTTGATGTGGTCACACAAAGGGGAGGGACCTACAGTTTTACGCCGACTCCGAATGGCGAGTGTATTTTTATGAGAAGCTGTTTTTCATGGCAGGAATACACTCGGAGGTTTGCCATTGCCTGCCGAGGGCCGACCGCTGTTAAGAAAAAACCCCTTTTCCTGCATTTTTTTCACTCATTCAATTTTTCACTTTCATTTTTTTGCTCACTCACTGCTATTTAACATTTCATCAGATAATTTGTTCCGCTTTTTACATGAAATACCAGTTACAACTGAAAAGATTCTTTCTTACTCAGCGCTTGAATTGGTTAACGTAAGAAAATTTTCGAAATTATCCTTATACTTTTTAACAATTATATACCATTTCACTCCACATCACATCTTCAGAACGATTAATTAAGTCGAATGTCGAATATTCGTGAATTTTGATCAATTATGCAACAATAACTGCGTCAAAAGAAAATCCCTTATTTATATGAAATGTCCCTTTTTTCCCTTTTAATAATTTTTGATGCAAAATATCCCTCAAATAGGGAAATTTCCCTCAATCTGGCACCACGAATCGTATGTGAAACACCCATGTGCTCAGAGAGCGCTCAGCATTATTTAGGGGTGGCTTACAAGCATGAATATGTTCCGCTCTCAAACCAAATCGTGGTTGCCTCAACTAAGATTTGGTAACTATGACTAAACCATGTGTTGAAAGAAAGCGTATCCGCATTAGCAGAGCTTAATAACATCCTTTTATGAACCATACGTTAAGTTGAATGGAATTTGTTGAAATATGCTTTAAAAAAATATTTATTAGTATTTACCAAAACCTTCAAATAAATTTACGATTTGGTACAATCTAGATGAATATTAGAAGCTTTAATATATTTAGTTATAATTACCAACCCATGGTAATAGTTCCCAATCCTTGGTTACAGTTCCCAAATACTGTCAAAATTCGGGAACTAAATATCTGTTGTTGTCGAAACTAATCCTTTTCCTTAGTGTATAATGATAGAATGAAAAAAATTATCGATAACATTTTGAATATTTAGCAACAAATGCAATAGTGCTTAAAAGCGAAAAACACCACACACGCGGCCTGACAAACCAAGCGAAATATCCCTTTGCTTAAAGCTATTTAAGTTGTGTATGGGGGTTTTTTTGAAGGTTTGACAAGCCATTTGAGCGAAATGTGAACAAACCGTTTACGTTGTGTGTTGTAAAATCGAATCATTCGCAACGGAATTTTTACCGAATGAGGACGCAAGAGAGAAGAATCTAAGAAAACCAAACCCTTTTACATTGTGAACCGGAAGAAAACTAAAATTCTTTGCTTGAACGAGTCATGTTTGCATGGTGTATGGCGAAATGGGATAAGTAGGTTTGAAGAATGTTTGACAAGTCGCTTGTGTGGTGTATTTCGCTCTTTATAAAACTTCGGAAGGTTTTTTGTTCAAAAATTTGCAGAGGGATTTAACAACTCTCTTGTGTAAAACATGGTTGCATTTGTTATCTGCAAATATTTCGAAATAAAATGTATCAAATATATCAAAATAAAAATCCTCAAAAATACTGAAGCGCTCCCGAAATTCCTCACGTTTTGAGGAATTACTCACAAAGTGGCAACACTGTTGCAACGAATCTTCAAAATATTTCCAAATACTACGTTCTTACGTCTGTCACCCATATGGTGGTAAATATTCAGACATTTATTTAAGAAATAAAGCATTATAAGCATTTTCAGACCCATCTCGCTTGATACCCATATTGCAATAACTCATTTAACTTTTTAGATAATTTGAATCCTATTTTTTGAAAGGGTGGCAACTATTTTTCGAAAAACTAAAACCTCACGGCACGTCTAAAGCCCAAGACCTTCAATCTTACACCTAATTTTTCAAAATCGAACGAACGCTGAGGATCAAATGGCATTGATTATTAAATAACTTGAATTTAATTAATATGGGAATAGGTGGCCTTCGCTTATATATTTCCGTTTAAAAGCTATTTCAGTCTTATTTGATTTGATACCAAATTTGTTTAATTTGGATAAGCGGTTTGTTTATTAATAGGAAAGGACTGATTCAGACTAAAAAAATATTTG